GGAATTGCTGGATCATATGGAAGCTCTATGTTTAGTAGGTCCAGAAATCTCCACACAGCTCTCCACAGTGGTTGGAATCATGTTGTTATCTACAAAAATATATGCTGATATTTTTGTTGAGATTGCATAGAATCTATAGATGAATTTAGGGAGACCTTATTTCATTATAACATTTTGAGCAGTCCATTCCATGAACATGCTAATTCTGGTCTCTGATATTTTTAATGGTGTGTTACAGTTTTCAGAATACACATTTCATGCATATTTTGTTATATTTTTACCTAACAGTGTTTTGTGACATTTAAATGGTACTTTAAAATATTTCAAAGTTCAACTTTTTTATTCCAGTGTATAGAATTACAATAGATTTTTTATACTGACCTTTTGCTGTGAGAACTTGATGCGTCATTTATTAGTTTTAGGAGTTTTTGTAGATTATTTGGGATTTTCTATATAAAAGTCATATTGTCTGTGACTAAAGACAATTTTTATTTCTTCCTTTTGAATATGAGTGCTTTTCTGTCATGTCCTAGCGCACTACCTAGGACTTCCAGTACAATGAGTAGCAGTTATAAAAGAGAATGTCCTTGACTTGTGATTTTATAGGAAGACAGTCAGTCTTTTACCATTAGGAGTGATGTTAACTGTAATATTTTTGGTAAAGTTGTTTTTTTTTTTTTTTTTTTCAGTTTAGGCACTTTCTCTTCTATTTGTCAGTTGTGAGAGATTTTTCTTGAAAGGGTATGATTTTGTCAAATGTTTTTCCTGCATTTATTGAGATAATCAGACATGTTTGTTCTTTAGTCTGTTAATATGGTGAATTACATTGATTTTCAAATGTTGAAGTCCACTTTAATTTAGTTTATCTGAGGTTTCTCAGACCTTGCAGGAAATGTAAATGGAAACTGGACCATATGAGAGTAGCCAACTGCTATGGCTCCCAACAGTAACCCTCCCTCTATTTTTTTTTTTTAAGCTTGTCAGAGACAGCTTTTCCTAAAGACTGCCCCCCGCCCCAGCCCAATTTATTTACTGATGGTGAAACCCTTTCAAAGTTCATAGCTTTATGCAAAGTTCTCAATTTTAGGTACCTCTCTGCAAGGTCCCACTGCCAATCTCCAGTTCCATCACACACTAATATCTGATCTTATCTATTGTATCTGATATTCTATCTATAATATCTTATATACCTCTCTCTCTCTTTTCCTTGGAGAGAGAGAGAGAGGTATATAAGATATTATAGATAGAATATCAGATACAATATTCTCAACAATATAAGGAAAAAATCCCAAGGAGTTTATAGGAAGATCTTAAATCCATCATTCTCTCTTTTCCTTGGGGGGGGGGTGTTGGAGAGAGAGAGAGAATATGATGGACTTAAGATCTTCCCATAAACTCCTTGGGATTTTTTCCTTATATTGTTGAGAATGTTGTGATGCAATTTTAATTATCTTTGTCATTTTATTTAGGGTTTTGATCCTTGCCAGTTGATTATCTTTTCAGATGATTTAAACCACTGAATTGTCAGAAATATTTTAAAAGCAGCAAAAAATGGGCAGGCAAATAGTACTAATACATTGCACCTTGAGACTTCAAGGGATTGTAAAATCACAAGGTGAGAATAATTCTATAGACTCCAGCCACTGAGACATGGAAAATTTTATCTCCCTATAGATAAAATGTTCAAAATTGCAGTAATAAAGAAAATCAGAGTTTAAAAAATGCAGAAAAGCAAATCAAAGTGATACAAGAGCACTAGATAATCAAAGAAGTACAATAAAATTCAAACAAATGAATGGCCTGAGAAATGAACAGAAAATAGAAAATGAAGTTTTGAATGTCTTGCCCATTTTTAACTCTAAATAAATTTTAATAGGGTTTTTTGGTTTTTTTTGTTTTTTGTTTTTTTTTGTGTGTGTGTACCCTTTAGGGCATCAATAGCTTTCTTTTCTCTTGGGTTTTTTTGTTTTGTTTTGTTTTTTTGTTTTTAAATCTTTCCTGAGACTCAGACTTTATGCAGATTGGAATCCATTTCTATTTCTGTAATTTGTCTTTTTTCTTATTTCACTAAGGACCTTCTGATGCTCTCAATCACTTACTTATCACTGATTATGCCTTCTTGACTCTTCTTTTTATTTCCTGGCCATATTAAAGTGCCCAGGTAGCTGCTGTCACTTAATGCTCTGTGAAGTTCTTGCTTTTTCTCCTATGAGAAGTGTCAGCCTCTAGAAACCAGGCTCCTATGTCTGTAGAGGGCACTGTAATAAGGACAAGAAGCCCACATTCTCAAATGGGTCACTGAAAATGATAAACTGGACCATTACTCCTTCTCTTCCTTTATATCTGGATCCATGGTTTCTACCCATTTGGTACATAGAATAATACAATAATCATTGATTTCAGGTACATGCTGCTTCCTAAAGGATGGTGCCTCTTAGCAGCCTCTTATCTCTGAAGTGACACCTTGCTGCGGTTACTAGGCCATCCATCACTCTGTTGAGACAACAGCTTCAGTAGAGCAGGCCCTGTCATATTTGGCTTGCACACACGTACTGAGCCTTCTCATTAGCTTTTTTTTTAAGATTTATTTATTCACACATACAAGAACCAGGGTACAGGTCAGACACACTGGAGGGTGAGAGGATTCACCAGAGAGAGAGCGGGGAGCAGACAAGCAGACTGACGAAATACACTGCTGAGGGGAGCAGCGGCACGACCGACCGGTGGCTGTGGACAGCTTCACAGTGCTGTGCTCAACTGCCTGTGCCAGCAGGGGGGGGACTCTCTTCAGCTTTTTCTTCCTCTTACTCAGCTAGTCATGAAATTCCCTTACCTGCATTCAGCAGCTGGTAATTGCTCAACCTATGACTTTCTTTAATGAACCTGTCTCCTCACTAGAATGTAAGTGCCAATAAAGAGGGATTGTTTGATTGACTGCTCTTTCCCCAATTTTTCAATAGTGCCAGCTCAATAAATTTGGTCTGAGAGAATTAATGTTGTCCACTGTGAATGGAATACATTGTTTCCCCTTTACTCTTCAGGAGCCGAACTCTCAACTAACACTGCCAGTTTCTAATCTAGAACCTACTCACCATCTAGTATTTCTGCTCCATTTGTTATTCACTTATATATTTATCTAGATTTTTAGTTCCACCAATTTTTTCAGCTTTCTCTTGAAATGGTTATTATATGATTTATTTGTATTTATGTCACTTTTTAAAACACCCGCATCTTTTTGCTATTTTTATCTTTTATCACTTTCAGAAGGAATTCTACCACTTCTAATGTAATTTACAACTGTTTTAGTAGTATCAAATCTGCTGTTTTCTGCGGTTTTCTTCTTTTGAGACAGCATTTGCATATTTTATCACTTATTGTATTTACTGATTTTAGATTATTTTTATTTATGATTGTCTTCTCTAGTCTTCTAAGAATAGTTTTTCTAGCCTAATTAGTATGTGCCACATATTTTTTCAAGTGCACAAATGATTCATTTAAAATGCATACCAATCCCATTACCACATTTGTAAATGTAAAAATTGAGACAAGGTAGTTTTTATAATCAACCTATAACCATAAATAGCCCATAAACCACAGAGTGTGATTTGATTTGTTCAAGCCTGGAGTCCTAACCTCTCTCCTTTATGTTATCTGACTATTGGTAAAAAGTTCTCTTGAGAAAGAGAATTAGAAAATGTCTAAATGATTGTGTTTCCTGCATTAACCATTTCATATAAGACACGTGTATTGATTCCTTTGAACTTCAGTATCTCTTCATCAATCCTATGATTCCTCTCTCTCATCTTTATTAGGGGTGATCTAGCCATGTTTAGTATTCCCAGCCAGCATGGTTCTTTGAGAAGTTGTAATTCTGTTTGGATATTCCAGATATAGTAGACCAAAAAAGAAAGGACCTAGGAGTTTTTCTTGGTACACTGTGCCACACACAGTTCAGCTACCCCAACAACTTATATAGAAAAGAGCCATGAGGACAGGAGAGAATATTGTGGGAACCTAGTTCCCTTCTCAGCTCCGGTTTTTCTTTATTTGACATGGCAGCTAATAGTCTTCACCCAACCTACTTCGCCCTGTCAGGGGCCCTATAACTTTCAAAGAGAACCCTCTACTATAGATGAAAATTGAGTAAGCGTCACTTTGGATTTCTTGTTAGGTACATTTTCTGGTGCCTGTTGCATTGCCCAGGCCTGATGGGACTGAGAGGAACTTCCCAATTGACACATAGCCTGAATATAACACCTACATATCATCTCGCCTGTCCAACAGAAGGATGTAAAGGTCCTCTCAGGCAAATTGTTGCTTCTCACACCACCATTAGGTGAGCATATTCCTAGTCCTTAACCCAGTTCTTTCAGGTATTCCTCAAAATTCTTGATGGGAGCCTGGAGTATCTTGTATCCAGAAAACAATATGGTTTTTCTTTTTAAAAAAAATCATTTTTAAAAGAATTTAGAAAGGGGACTATGAAAATTAGACACATTCATTCAAATTTACTTTTTTACCCAGAATCCTAGGGAACAGATTATAACTTACCATTAGGTAACAATAAAAACTAGACTAATTTTTATAATTTTCCAGGCAAAATATTCTCATGTTTCTCTCTAATAAGTACATCCATGTGATAAGAACAGATTTTAAGTTTTGGCAACATCCTTACAAAAACTGTTCATTGAAACCCTGTAAATGCAACAGTAGATATTATTAGGGTTTATTCCTGGCAGAGATGGGGCCCGAGGCTTAGCACAAGGGCAGGAGGGAGAAGCTACTGAAATTGTCTGTAAACTGGCTTCACTGGAAAGACTGTGCTGAGATGAGCAATTCTGTTTAGAATGACTGCTGCTCATCTTTCTATCAAGATAATCATCAATAGCAATGTGAAAAAGCAGATGTAGCATTCAAAGGGGCGTTCTGCTTTTTGAACACTAAGTGTCATTGAGCTCTAGCATTATTCCAGTGAACCCACAAGTCAAAGAAATAATCACCTGGAAATGCTTGTATAATGTGACGACCTGAAGAAAGTTGAGCCACCTGACTTTTACTGAAGAGGCAAAGCATCCTATAAACTAGAATTTTTGGTTCCTCTGTTGTCTTCCATATAGTCTCTTGCCTCTTTGCTAAATATCAAAGATATTTATGCTTAAACAAATGTTGTCTCCCTCTCAGAGCATCCTCTCCTTCTGGCAGGGAAGTCATCATGCTGAATTGGTGGCACTTTCCATGGCAACAGACTGTGATGTCAGAAATGCGGTGCCAAGCAATTAGATTTGGAGGTGCCACAGTTGGGAATCTGAAGCTCTAAGGATGATGATGAGACTGAGCAGTTGTTGAAGAAAAAAGCAGCTCACTAAAGACTGAGTATCTGAAGTGTACACTCCACGTCCTGCTGCTGAAAAAAGGTGACAGAAAATGAAACTAGGTGAGAGGAAATGGGATACAGTTTTCAAGACATGATTTCAAAGGGGAAGTGTGTTGAAGACAGTTTGCAAAAGGCCACGTCCGGATGCCTGGCGCTCTGCCATGTTCCCAGCTCTGATGCTTCACAGGTGTTCTCTAAGGTGTAGAAGGGAGAAGCCCCGGAGACCCTCTGTCTCTTACAGAGGAAAGCAAAGGTGTCAGGACAGAGAGAAAGGGCAGACTCTACCTTCCTACCTCGTAAGGTAGAAGCGTGGGCATTCTCACAGTTTTGCTGTTTCCAGGGAAAGGACATCTTGACAACAAGACCTTTTGAGACCTGAAAACTGATGTGTAGTGTAGGATGCCCAAAGGGTATTAGGTCTTCAGTGAGACTGTCCAAGAGCAGACAACTGATGGTGGCCTCTGCAGTTACTGATGAAAGAATTGGGAGTATTTTCAAATGAACCCAAAAGCTTCACCTTGTTTTTTGTAGATTCTATGTTAAATATGCAAAGGATGAAACCAATACCTGTGAAAAATCATAGATGAAGTTTTAAAATACACATTTCAGTGATACAGTATGGATAAATTTGGACTACATATGGCTTCTTATGTAAAGGAAAAATTCTTCTCCTTTTAGTAACACATTGTCTGCTGCCTGTGCTTAGCACCTTCTGCCATATGCTCCTTAAAACGAGCTGCTGCAATTCAAGAACTCGCCCTAGTAATTAAGAACAAATGAACCAGATGAAGAAAATGAGCTGGGTAAACCACATGCTCATGGATCCCAGGATTTTTATACTGAAAAAAAAATATTATTTCCTAGTGGACTATTCAGAGGAATTATATGCAATCTCCACTCAGGATTATTGCTAATATTTATTAGCAAATTATTCTGGGCTTCATTGATTAACTTCATAGGAATATATGCTGTTGGACCCCAAAGCATGCCTATGGAATACAAATGATAGTTCTCATAAGGTCAACAAATGCAATTTATTTCATGAAGTAATGAGATGTAACATTGATAACATTACAAAATAGTTTGAGACTAAGCATCAAAATACCTTGGAAGATATTTGGTCTTTCATCCTTACATTGTAAATAGACATCAGGATCTGGAGAGAGTGACTAACTTTCTTCTGGTCATGGAGCTAGAGACACATCTCAGATTAGAAGCTAGGATTTCTGACTCACTAGTTCAGTACTTCTCAAACTTGAGTGTGCAATGGAATCTACTGGAGCAGGGTTTGTTAAAGTAGAGATCACAGGGCTGATACCCCGTGTTTCTCATTCAGCAGGTCTGGGTTGGGGCCCCAAGTTTTAGCTGTCAAACAAGTTTCCAGGTAAAACTGATCTACAAGCACTATTTAATAGGACCATACTTGGGAACCAAGGGTTTAATCCTCCCTTTATAACTGTATTTTTTCAAGGTGTGGGATCCGGGCCTCCCTGGTGGCACAGGGGTTAAAGTCTCAGCACTATCAAGCTGTCACTAGCCACTGTGGCAAGAGTTTGATCCCTGGCAAGGGAGCTAACCCACATGGTGCAGCAGACCTCTCATGTCTTGCCTGCTGCTCTCCTCAGCAGTGTATTTCAGTAGATCTGCTTGTTCTGCTCCCCACTCTGTCTCTGGTGAATCTCTCAGCGCCCTCCCCCACCTCTAGCCTATACCCCATTTCTTCTATGCATAAATAAATAAATCTTTAAAGAAAAAAAAAAGAATGGGATCTATAACAGAATCACCTGGGAGGGGGGTTGTTTTATACTAAGAAGATATAAATCATACATGAAGAAAAGAGAAAGGTAGTCAAAGATTAGAAGGGTTTTTAAATGAAACACCTATGTCCCCTTCTGGAAATATGGTACATTATAAATGATCAAATGATGAATGAATATGACAGAGGAAATATATTCCAATTGAAAAACTGAACAAGAAGAACAAATAGGCAATCCACAGAAGAAATAAAATTCAACATATGAGAAGATCCCTGGCTTCACTAAAGAAATGTAAATTAAAACACTGAAATGCCAATTTTTGCCCACCATTTTTACAAAAATTTAAAAATGTGAAAACATTGAAAAAGATATAAGGAAATAGGCATTTATACTTTTGGGAGGGATTTTAGGCAATTTGGAATACAATTTTAGAAGGCCATTTTACAAAAATCATAAAAATATGTGTACCTTTGAATTTTCCACTTATAACAATTGATTCTAAATCAGCAATAATAAGATATATATCTCTATATATGGATGTACCTCATATTATTTATACTAGTTCAGGATAGCTTAAATATCCAAATATGATACCTCTGAATACATTTTTATATATACTTTAAAATGCACTACTTTATAATCATACTAGTTACTGAAGAATATTTTAAGACACAAAACATGCTCACTATTTTTAAAACCTACTTTTAGTTACCAAATCATATAATAAGTTTACATAAAAATTCAATATATATGAAAGACAAAATGCTAGAAATATATGCACTAATATGTTTTATATTTTCCACACTTTGTACAGTGAAAATATTGCTTTGTTAGTTTAAACATGTTGTTGGAAATAGCCAATGTCTGGTTATATGAATTACTCTGTATTATTAAAATGGGATACTATACTAACATTAAAAAGAGGCAACAATAGTTATTGACACAGAATAATCACCAATTGCTACACTATTAAAGTGCAGCACAGAACAGTGTGACTGTGTTAAAAAATAAGAATTTAAAAGCAATGCATATTCAGTTAACACAGATTACCCTCTCACTTCAAGCATATAGATATGATGAATAAAATATAGTAACTACAATTAATTTCTATGTATATCATGCTCAAAAAAGAAAAGAAAATAGCTCAGGAGCTAGAAATGAAGGGGAAATGGAAATCGAGTTATTGGTTCACAAACTGAAATAGCTGCCATTATATATGAGAAAATTGGATTTGGAAACAGAGCTTAAAGATATGATCCAGGTAGTGGGTTTAATAACAACATGGGAATATACGTGGTTGCTCTATGCCCAAGCAAGACAAAGAGCTGAAGAGGGAGATCCCATACGTCTAAAACACAACAATATTGTATACCATTTTTACCTCAGTAATAATAATAATGATTTTAAAATGGCTGCCTATTTGTAGATAGCAAGCCACAAAAACTTTTGAGAGAATCAAAAATGTTGCCTTCATTTAAGATTATGGGTAAAATTATAAAAATGACCTAAGATTTGAAACTGCAAACATGTGGCATATGCAGGTGTGCAGTCTGAATTTATAGTGCCATTACAATTCAGGAATTTCAAGCAAAGAAATTAACATAAAACTGGTCCTGGACCAGGAAATTTTATATAACAGGTGACAGTCATATATAAGTGAAACTACTTCGTTAGGACATTTACACCATCTAGACAACCAGGGACTCCTGGTTGTCTAGATACATAACAGACCTTTGAAAAATAGGATTAATATCCAGAGGGCTTGAAAAAAGATAACAATCTGAAAGTGACTTAAACAAGGGTGTTAAAGATGATTAGGACATTAAAAAGAAAATCACAAGATAGGCTAGAATACTTGGATAAATATTTGCAAGGAACATATAGAATGATGCATGTTAATAAAGCCGTTGTATAAAATAAACTTTCAAATGTGGAGGTGGGGCAATTTTAGGGAGAACTGGTGAGTTGGAATGTTATAGGACGGTATTATACCACCTTGAACAATGATTAAGAGATGTGAAGGAAAGAGTGACAAACCCCAACATGAATCTGATAGAACTACTCCCAGACAGAATAAATGTAGTGAAGAGAAGGGAAAATGGCTCAGAGTTTTATATTGATAAGAGTTGTAGAGTGACATGAAACAATATTGAAGAGGATAATAACTGAAATCCATAGCTAGCTTCATCATAGCATGACTGCAGCTCATCAGAGGTAGAAAATAATCATGATAGAATTGAAGGAGAAAAGAGATATGACTTCTGTGTTCTAATAACACAGCAAAGGAGAGGAAGCAAGGAGAAATATCTGCCCAGGGTAGAGATTATAGGTTTGCATTGTCTGCAGAGATTTTAAAAGCAACGATAGACCAAAAAGATGGACTAGTTCTTATCTTTTCAATATCTTGGCATTTCTAAACAATGTGAGTGACAAAATGTATCCCTCCACTGAAGCAGAAAACTCCCACAGTTTCCAGCTTGCGGGGAATACTTGCTATACTATCTCCTCTCCTCCCTCAATATAATGGTTGCCACCTTAAGATAAAATCAGGTAGAAAGACAGCACCCTTAATTTTGTTTGCCTCAACCCTCTCTCCATATGACTAAGAAATTTTAGTGGGCCTTTAAAAGAAGTCCATTCTTTCCTGAACTCATATCTTTTTTGGTAATACTTTGCTAAAATCAGCAAAGAACAGCAGCTAGTGAATCATAATAATCTGGTGACTCTCTAGTCACAGACTTGAGAAGCATTTGACCTGGATTCTTACTTATCAAAGACAATAGTGGCAGCAGCTGTATTACCAGAGCACATGAAGGAGCACATGTTTTCCAATGTACCAGGTTGGTTTTCTTGGCACCAACCACCTGTTCAGTCATTGAATGGAACCTATTTTTGATTTTTTATGATGTCAGGATTCCACTTCTGTTACCATCATTTAAATATATTAAAAATATAAAAGCTTGGATAGTATACATACTTCAGGATAATGTTAACCTTTGGGAAGGGAGAGGAAGCAGGATTTTGAGTGTATTCAACTAAAATTCCAGCTATTCATTTTTTTAAAAATTATATTTGGGATACACATTACCAAAAAAATGTTAAACTCTTAAAAGCCTGAGTATTGAGTCCAGAATTCTACTATATTATGTAATTTCTATATATTTGCAGTGTTTCAGATTATAGAAGAAACTTTGATATATGAAAACATGTATGTATATGTGTACATACATATATGTGCTTGGGTATGTATAATTCTGAAAGGTTATACAAGAAACAAGAAAGGACATGATAATACTGGGGTTTTAGTATGTGAAGGAGACTGAATCTGAAAAATTTGCAGCACTTGTATGAATTAACTCATCTAAATACATGTTATTTTTTCTTTTTCTTGGAGATAACATTAGTTTAACTAACACTGATGATGATATAGGGGGATAGATTCACACCTCTCCAGATGCCTGTCATCACAACACACCCACCACCAGAGCACCCATAGTCCTTTACCATAGACCTTTACACCCCTTCCCCCATCCTCCCCCTCTGGTTGCCTCATTTGTGCTGTCATATGTCTAAGGTTTATTTTGGTTTAGTTTTTTCAGTTCCTTTATTTTGTTTCTCTATATTTCACATGTAGGAGAAATCATCTGGTATTTTGTCTTTCTCCTTCTGACTTATTTTTACTTAGTATAATCCCTTCAAGTTGCATCCATTTGTCACAAATGGCAAGAGTTTGCCTTTTTTATAGCTGAATAGTATTCCGTTTTGTGTATATACCACATCCTCTTAATCCAATTCTCTGTCATTGGACACTAAGATTGTAAGTCACAGCCCTTAAAACAATTATATAAGGTTTGTTACCAGGTTGTCTTAGATCATTTCTGGGTATTTATATTATTTTTTGTGTGTTGTTTGATGTCACCATTTTGGGATTCTATTCCTCTGGAATAGAACCATGGTCTATAATATCTAGCCCTGTTGTCTCCTTTATCTACTTAAATTTATCAATAAATACTCAATGCCACTGGAATGTGATAGCTTGGATATTTGGCAAATATGCCCTTTGTAAAAGCAAAAGTTTTGAGATAATGAGCTATAAACTCTTGGATTTCTTTCAATGTCAATAATAAATGTTACTTCCTCCCTTCATTATAGTCACTATTGGCAATTCAAATACATTTGTTTACTAAAAATCAATAATGTGTTTAGTTTGTTAAAAGTTATTTAAGCCTTGATTGTATTCTTGACCTTCAAATCTAGTTCTCTTCACACCCACTTGTTTCAAGAGTTTTAGTTTTAAGTATAAGAACAATAGGAGTCAATCCAGAAGCTAGTTGATTTACTAAATTGCTTCTTATAAACTTTGATATTTCCTTTATTAGAATATACCTCCTTCCTTGTAATCGAGCTCAGACTTTTTGTTTTGTTCATGTTCAATGTAGACAGTAAGATTGTAAACTCGGGCCTCCCTGGTGGCACAGGTGGTTGAGCACAGTGCTGTGAAGCTGTCCACAACCTCCGCAGTGCCAGTTCGATCCCCGCTGGCAGTGGAGATACCCACATGGCGAGCAGACCTCTCCTGTCTCGCCCAGTGCTCCCCTCAGCAGTGTATTTCAGTCACTCTGCCTGTTCTGTTCCCCACTCTGTCTCTGGCGAATCCTCTCACCCTCCCACATATCTGGCCTGTACCCTGGTTCTTGTATAAATAAATAAATCTTTTTTTAAAAAAAGATTGTAAACTCTTTGAGTTAATAGTCTTCTAAGTTATTCCAAAATAATTTAAAAGATAATCTTTAAGTACTTTGTGTGAGACACTGTGCATATGCTGAGCTCACAAGAGTGACTCATTGGCTCTCTGGGATCACAACAGCCTTTAGCGAGTGAGTGATAAACTTGTTCCTGAAGACACAGAGATTACAGTCATGTTGATCTATCCAGTCAGGACAGAAACTTGGTAAGAATTATGCTCCTATTATTGCCTTAGTAATGTCTAAACACACATTGATTTTATCAAGTATATAATAAATTTGAGAAAAAAATACTTTAATTTGAAGATGCTAAATTTCTCCCTTCTAGATGCTACAGAAGCAGTCAGTTGCATGAGGGGAATGCATTACATCATGAGTAGAATTTTGGTCTCTAACATTGTGCTTCTATTTTTAAAACAACCCAAATTGTAAAAAAAAAATTCTCTTGATTTCTACCTGAAAATTTATTTTCTGTAGTTGAATATAAATGTGTCCATGAATCCCAGCAATACAGAACACCTACCATTTATGACCTTTCCTTGTTAGAAAACTGGATATAAAAAAAAATTACTTCCCACATTGATATCCTGAAATGCATATGAACTGTGGATAGGAGGTGTAGACAAAACAGAAGTTCCTCTAGACATTAAGTAGTTATTTCAAAAGAAACAATTCAAAATTCTGGAAAGGGGAAATAGATCCTGAGGTTATTTTGTATCCAGCCCAGTGTCAATGTGCAATAGAAATAAAAGGTACATAAAGCTGTCCTTACCATTTTATAACTCATTTCTTAAGCTAAAGGAGAAATATGTTTTTAGGTACCATAGGAAGTAGAAGAAAATTTCAAAACAAAAATCTGCAATTGGTCAGATTTATTTTTTCAATAAAATCATTTGAGAATATAAAATTAGACAATGCCAAGATTACTGTGGCATTTACTGGAGAAAACAGATATTTGGACAAGATTTTAGTGTTTGTACTTGAATTGAAAGAGGTTTATTAATACAAATTTTATGCAGGGCAAGTTTGCAATGCAGAATGTAACTTAGTGTGAAACTTAATATGAAAGAGAAGATTTATTGAGAAGGAAATCTTTTCCAGAAATAGAGTATCCATTTTCAAAATTCTGATTATTTAGAAATAAGTAATTAGTACAATAAGCACTTTTGTCATAGTATAACTAGTGAAGCAAATTTTAAAGGCCTGCATCAGAATTTAAGGTATAGTCTATACTTTCCATTTAAGCAGTGAGAATCTAGTTTTTGCTGATCCAGGTTTAAGCACCATTCCTGCTTCCTGCCTTTCTGGTCTGAGCAATTTTTGCTTTATACATTCCAAAGCCACTATTGATAACCTGTACTCTTACAGGTTTTCAAATTCCTCTAGTCATTTATGTATTTGGTAAGTAGGATATAGTGCTTCTAGACTTAAATTGAGGGTTGCTTTGGGGACAGACACACATGATCAACTGTCTTATAAAATGTATCAAGAGATGGTAAGAAATCACAAGAAGGTCCAATAATTGTTGGGAGGAGACAAATAGAGCAATGGAGGTGACTTGACCTGTCTCTCCTGCCTCATCAGATGCTATGAATGGTTCTGATGTAGTCTTGGAAAAAGGTCTCATTATGCTCTGCTATGAGAAGCAGGTTTGGGGTCTCCTAAAACTTATTAAAATTGATACTACATTGACAGCCTTCCCATGGGATGGTTTGGCTATTGAAAGAAAATATGAACCTCCCAGGCACATTGGTCTTTTCCTTTCAAATTAGTCAGAGATCACAAAGTGTCATGAAAATGAAAAGTGGATCTTGATGACTAAACACCTCCCCACACACACCAAAATTGTCATGGCAAAAATAATGAATATTGTTTAGCAGTACCTGACACATAATAGATACATCATTAATATTTGTTGTTTTTTAATAAGAGCTACTAAGCAACAACCTGAAGTTGTTACTTTGTTCATTTAGCTTAAGGGAAAGAGACCACAGCTAAATTCAGAATGATGGACAACTTGACCCTGACCAGGCTTTGCTGTAGTTTGAAGTCCTGCGGCTGTCCAGAGGGTAAGGTAAGACCGTACATAGCACGTTATCCAGTACTTTCTTTTATGATGTACATTCCACCCTGAAGTAACATAGACCCTGGAAAGGATGTGCAGGAACCCATTTTCTTACTTAGCAGAGTAAAATTCTTTTTGCATGACCTGTAGGAAAAGAGAGAAAATACTTTTTGTCTTTCCTGGACATATTCAAGTGTTGTCCAATTTATTGGAGGGAAAGGTAAATAAAGTAGATTGGAGGGGACTGAGAGGCTGAATAAATTATTTGCTTTGATACAGTTTTATCCATACAAATGCATTCATTTTTATATTCACAACTGCCCTTACATTTCACATCAGGTGGTAGCCTGGTGGCAAGATTTGATGGCCAAATATAAGCATTAGGCTAAAAAAGATGGAAGAACAAAATAATTTGAAACAATTATTGAATTTTACTTAAAAGGTCTCACTTAGTTGTAGTTGGAAGAGTCCACCTACACCTATATTTAAGGAACAGAACAGATATCAATAAAATAAATAGAAAAAAATCAATGAAAACAAGATTGTCCTTTAATGAGGTCAATGACATTGATACAACTCATATACTAAGAATATTTGTATAAATTAAAATGGATTTTAGGCCTTTGTTCCCAAATATCTTTACAATAAGCCACACATCTTTATTACTTATTTCATAAAGGCATTGATCTATTAAAAATGACATTATGAAACCATTATCAACTATTAATATCTTAGAGCTTTTTTATTACCAGATTAGTTAGAATCTTAGAGATGGGAGCAAAAAAAATTTACTCTTGATGAGGGCCAATGTTTGGGAGATACGTAATATTCAATGTTATTGAGGACAAGCCCAAAGCAAGAGGAAGAAGTTTAACCTTATGGTGAAAATAGACTCTGGTTGCATACCTAGATGTTTCCTCCTCTTTGGACATTTGTTTGAATATCTTTAGGTTGAAATGTAACTTCTATTGAATCATATATATTAATTCTTTCATCTTTATTCTTATAAAAAGAATTAAAGGGGCTCCGCCACTTTATAGTCAGAAATTAGACTATAAAATGACAGAGAAGTGAGTCGCTATTGTAGCAAGTGAGAAATATTGTGTATAAAACATGGGACCACACACACAGCTACATCTATTTCTTCAATGTATAAGTGTGTCATATGTGCCAGTGATCATCTGTCCCATGTCACTGAAGCTGGGCTAATAATTTGGTGATAGGAACTCTGCTTTGGACACTGACATGTGGCTTGTGCTTACAGAAGCTATTGGGCAATTGGAACCTTGAAAGTGCTGCTGCCTGTAAGGGTATCCTAGACATGAACAGATTTGGGTCCTGATGTTATTGTATATGAGTTTCAGCCTGTCCTGCACAGTGTGTTCTAGCTGCAATGTCCAGTCTTGAGGCCCAGTTGAAAGCACAGGTTTTTCTTTGTGAGTTTCCTGACAATGGAATGATTACTGTTGGCATGAGATCCTGACCTCATCTGCTCTAAATTTCTATCATATCATTGTGTTAGAATTTGTGGTATTTTTCTACCTAGAACTTGTTCTGAATTTATGTAAAGGTCTAGATAGGAATCAGTCTGCAGGTTTGAGCAGATTTAGTTTTTACTTAAAGAGATAAAATGGATTTTATGAAACGGCTACATAAAGTCAGGTGACAGCTCTGTATCTGAAAGTAGTAGAGATCTGTATGAGTTGTTTGTTTTTTTCTTGGCAAAAAAAAAAAAAGAAAAACATTGCTTTAACAGAAAATGTCATAACTGAAATATCTACTCCTCACCCAAAATGAAGATAAAGTGAACAGAGGGGGTAAAGAATGAATTTGTCAAAAAGGTATTAGGTGTGAACATCACAAAAAAAAAGTCAACTGATGTGTTTGGGACATAAATAATGAGGATGAGTTAACAATTCCTTTCTTTATCCAACCTTCTTGATTCACTCCAGAAGAAACAAGATAGGAATATGCTTATATAGAAAAAGTAATCTTGAGCCAACCCTGGTGGCACAGGTGTTTGAGTGCAGTGCTGTGAAGCTGTCCACAGCCTCTGCAGCATGAGTTCGATCCTGGCTGGCCAGCGAGAATCCCCCATGGCATGGCAGACCTCTCCCATCTCACCCATTGCTCCCCTCAGCAGCGTATTTCATTCAGTCAGCCTGTTCTGCTCCCAGTTCTGTCTCTGGTGAATCCTCTCACCCTCCCACACATCTGACCTGTACCCCGGTTCTTGTATGCATAAATAAATAAATCTTAAAAAAACACAAAGTTGGAGGACGCACAAATAGAGCAATGTAGTAAAAAATTATTTTCTGTATTTATCATAATTTTGATAATTTATTATTGTTTGTAATTATTCTTTCTGAAAGTGATGTGTAATTGAAATCTGTAGTGCCTACTTTCTCTAAAGTGGCAGCTCATACCCTCTCAGGAATAAAGGACTATTCCCATATGGATATACTGTCCATATGGATATATGTCCATTATATTGGTCATATTAGATATATGACTCTATCATATCTTCCTTCAGGAAATACTGTGAACATTGTTCAGAGAAGGAATCCTATGTTTAAAAATTCCTGATATATCTCAAGTTGTCTCTTTGGCACATTGCTTGAGAGTATCAGTTAGCAAACCATATTTCAAAAGGAAATCACAAACTTTCTCTATCCCCAAACAGTTGTATTTTCTACTTCCTTAACAATTAATTTTTGCCCAGGCCCACAATCACAGTCCTGAGACCAGCATTTATTTCTAGTTTTTCCCTCTCCCTCGCCCTTATAATCAGTCAGTCTCCAATGGTTGATGATTATTTCCTTCCTCTGTTTCTGAGGTTGTTCCTTCTATATCATGTTAATTTCTTGTTGATCATTTCATTCAAAGATGATTCACCAACCTGTCCACCACAGTATAAAGCAAATTCACTTTCTTCATTATTTTTACATAGCTGCCCAATTAGAAGCCCTCGAAAGTCTTCCCATAATTTTTATCTTGCCATTCAAGATCTTCCATAGTAAGATCTCTCCTGCATACTCAGGAAAGAAGTCATGTATTATTTTTCAGGAGAGCCGGTTGTGGGATAAAATTGTTAAGAAAGTTTGGATTGTTTTCATTCTTGGGAAAAAAAAAACAAAATTAGCATCATCTCAGTTTGCAAGTGCATTTTGATATAGAGAGAAATTTGAGATAAGGGCCCTTGCTTAGGTGTCTCTGGCAAATAATCCAGATATGGTAAACCTACTTGTGAACTAGATTAGAAGACTTAAGACTGAAAAGGGAGAAATCTGATTGATAAGGGTAGAAAAAGAAATGGAGACACAAAAATCCAAGGTTTTGGATAACCTATGTTTCTAGTAAAATGATAAAAATCCCCAAAGAAATACAGAAATGGAAAGATAAACCAATTTAGGGGTTAGAGAATAAAAGAATTCTACTTTATACATTCTGTGTTTGAGATAAAGAGGTGCAGAGAAATGAAAGTGGCCAGTAGGTTATCCAGGACTAGAAACTCATGAGGTAGACTTTGCCTAGAGACATAGACTTTAATCATCTCTGTGGTTGAATTGTTGAAGTTGGGTGTGCTTTTATGTAGGAGAAGGTGTAGATAAAGGAGATAGAGTTAATGAATTTTATCATCATAGTTAGAGAGCAGGGAGGTTTAAAAAATAAATTGGAAAGGGGGAAACAATGAAGTAACGAGAACACTCTATTATGGTGTCATGGAAACCAACCAACAGAAGAGTTTGAAAAGCAGCTAAATCTGACAGTGTTGAGACAAATATAATGAGCAGTTGGGATGTCATAAAATTGATAATAAGGTCATTGGTGTCCTCTGTGGGTGCATTATTAGTCCAATGATTGGGAGGGTAACTAGAATTCAGGAAACTACAGAGAATGGATGGTGAGGAGGTGATACACGGTGGATAGGAGATTTTAAGAAAGTGGCAACAAACCCAAGGAGAATAAGATGGTAGCCCAGAAGTTCAAAAAGCTTATTTCTATGTGTTTTTTCAAACCCAGAGAAATATGAGCTTATTTCAAAACAGAAAAGAGATAAGAGAAATTCTATTTATTTCATCCAAAGGGGCTCAAACAGAAAGAGTGATGAGAGAGAACATTTACTTTAGAAAGAGTGTAGAGCATCTCTCTTCTGGGAAGAAGCTTGAGGAAGGACATAGGCCTAGGGGGAAAAATGAGTGTTGGGTGAATAAATAATAACGTCAACTAGCATGACAGTGATATGGAGAACATGAAGGAGAATGGCTTAAATAACCACTTGTTCTTTGTACACAGAGTTTAAAAATCATTCAGTAAAAGAAAATGCAATAAAAGCCTGGTTGAACTGGGTGACATGGCTTTTGGATGACAAACATTCAAAGAAATCACTTAATTGGTCATAAACATTTAGTGATATATCATCACTTACTATTTGCTAATTAATTCACTAAGGTTGGTGAAGATTAAATAGGGATGGTGAGATACTGGAAAATTTTATTTCCTGATCCTACGCACTCACACTCAACGTGAGCCAAAGCCCCGTTGTCAATGGTTACACCACTGTGATTCAGAAGAAAGCTGTTCCACATTAGTATATTAGATTTAAAACACATTGTTACTTTCAACATTAGCAAAAGCCACATGGTGTGTTGCAACAAAACAGAGGATTAGGGAGCCTAAATTTTTTCTAAAGTAAGCAAGCCTGTAGGGATGGTAAACACTACTCACTGTAACTTCAGGCTACAAGACTCATTTTTACCTAAAAAATAGAATGAATCCGAAAAGTGATGTTCATCAGAAACCAGTGGTTGGTGTTACTGAGAAAGAGGCAAACATTCAACTAATAGCATAAGTTGAAATGTAGAAAAGTTTCTCCACATGCATTTCTCTCTTTATTAAATAGGAATTAAATTAAAATTTGAACATTTCTTTGCAGAATAAATGTAGGAATCTGTTCAGCACTGTTTTTCCACCTACAAAGTCAATGGACTAATATTTCACTAG